TACAATTTAAAATAATCATAAACTATTAGTAAACATTAATTAAATTGCTCATTATGAAATGAGTACAAAAATATTTTAATGCAATTATACCATAAATTTCACATTTTCTTATGTAATTCACAAACAAAATTATAATATAACTATTATTCAATAAATATAGTCTAAGTACTATTCTAATGTAATTAAATTACTCGTCATCAAAGGACCACATTTTTTCTATAAAAAAATAATCAAAATACTTATTAACTATTAGAGTGAATTGCATTCATAAAATTTGCATAAAAAAGCGTCAATCATTGAGTTGATGATTCACATCTTACTAAAGTTAAGCAACTTAGATCAATTTTATGAATCAATAATATTTGTAGTTTAAAACTAAACGTTTCAATCGAAATACAAATTTATAGAGCGTTTCAGTATTTTTTGTAGAGTATAGATGTTTTCACTATATGTTAATTATATTAACAAATTATTTTTTAATATTGCGCTAATTTTACCCAATAAGAAAATGTAATAATATTAATTCGTTTATTATATAATTTAATTAAATTATAAAGTTTTTGTGTGAAAATAAATCTTTAATGCGTGAATCAATAAGGTCAAGAGATTACCAGAAAAAAAGGCTGAACTCGTGATTCAGCGATAATACTTTGTAAATTTCTTTTAATGTATTATTATGATTATTATTTTAATACAAAAAAAAAGTTGTAACGTCTCTAAAAAATAATACTTAGAAAATTATTAATGATTTAAATTATAGAACTGTAAAAATATGTGCTGTAAAATGAGTTTGATATAAATGTTTGTTTGAACATTTAGAAATATTTTATGAGAAAGTTTCAATTCTAGATGAACATCCAATATATTGAATTTCAAAAGAGAACTATAAACTACAACCAAGTAGTAAATTCCATTCATTCAATATAAGGTTTGTTATTAAATGTACATCATTCTGGCTTTACAAATTTTGTATTGCATTCGAAAGAAGGATTTCTATAATCATTTGATAATTTACAACATGTAATTTCGTGAGATCCTTGAATTTATAGTAATCATTTAATAAGTATTAGTTTAAATTCAAAACGTAATTTGGATGTCACGGTAATCCCCTTTATTATTCTTACATCATGTACGTAATGTTAAACTGACATCAAATAAGATGTAAGCCGCGCGCTTTTTTCTTTTCTCCGCTCTCTCTTTATTTGTTTATGTTTGTAGCATCTTTATTTAGAATAAAAATTATTAAGAAATAAAAAAAGAACAAGAAGGACAAAAAGAAAACATGCGACGTGAATGCATGTTATAATTATGCGCGTTTGAGTGGCTCGGACCTCCATAAAAGGAAGAAAAGCTCGAAGTGTAGAGAGAGAGACGAGAGAAATGTAGTATATACCAAAGAGAGAATATTAGACCAGGAAGACGCAGCTTGATGTCTAGCTACCAGTTGCCAGAGACTGTATAAGATGTATTAAGATGACTATATTATAAGGCGGAATATTTAAATGCGTGCCGACCTTATCGTGCGAAGAACCTCCGTTTGTACGTACACTTCTCCGATCTGATCCTGTCAGTTGTCGAAGGATACGAAGAATGTTTTCGGGTGAACCCATTGGAAGCGACAATGTGATTTATCTTCTCGAATCAGTTCTGTGCGCACAATGAATATCGATGACACTAGATATGTTAATGTGCTCAGTAAGTTGGATCCGTACAATGGCGAGCCGCCTTCAACCTGTCAAAATCGCTTAAAACGTTCCTCGGGGGAAGAAGTCCTTAGTAATCTCCAAAAACAATCACATCCAATCCCCAATCGCAATTTAATTTTTGAAGCCTCTTTGTTCTTAAAACCTGATATTGTAAAATTCCGAATCTTGTTTTTTTTGGTTAATTTGGTTTTTGTTTGTTAATTATTATTTAGTTTTACAATTTTGTTTAAATATTGGCAACTTTTTTAAGAAAAATATTAACTTAAGTTATAATTCTATAAATAAATACATTTTACATATTAACAAATAACCGTTTTCTTACAAATCTATTAAATACAGTCTGTTTAGGGTTTATTAGATTCTACTTATTCTCTTATCAATGGCGAAGAAGTAAAGACGAACAAGAACAAACAAAAAAAACTACAAACATTACATCACGTTATTTGGAATCGTTCCTGTTGTGCTGGATATAATTGAGCTTAACAAACAACGGGGGCGTACGTCAACCTTGAATTGAGCCTAATCCACATGGACTTTCGCAAAATGCACTCTAATTACGGACCGTTTACACGCGATTACGTAAAGCCATGTAGGTGCTAGATGGCCTAGAATCTAATTGTACTTCCTTCGAAGGCATCGCCAGGATGCGATAAAAGTTCGTTCCGCACTAATCTTCCCCGAAGAGCGCGCCGTCAATTGCATAATAGGAGGCGCTGGAATTAGTCCAAAGGTCCTGCAGCTAATTATTAGGTCAGAATTGTGCGAATGGGAGTTAATTGCGGCAGGCAAATAATTGAGACCGGCATTTGTTGCGCATCAAAACCATTCGTTCTTTCTTCCTTCTTCTCATTTTCTTCTTTTCCTTAAGGATAAATGTAAACAAACCACTTAGCAATCACTTGAACATATCATTATGCTTGTTAGCTGGTTCTGATTTGCTCGAAGTTCTTTTTAAATCTGTCTTCGCGGATGATGTGAAGTGGCAAAGACCGCAACAAGATGCATATCTGCTCGTCTGCGCTTGAAGTTTTCAACTTCTCATTTGCTTCTCACACATATATCATATGATCGCTCTATTAATACCGTCAATCAATCAAAATGTTCGTCTCCTCTTTTTTTCACTTTCTTTTTATTTTGGATTTCCTTCGTGTTTGCGCGGAAAAACAACTGAAGTTCTCTTTCTCTTCGTTTTGCTCTTCCGCATTAATTACTTTCACACATAGATGACTAATATTGCGCTGAGCGGAGCGCCGAGTTAAAAAGCAAAAAGTTTATTGAACTTAATGAAGAAAATATTGTAATGCTCTCTGCGTAATAACAATCAGCACAAGTGGGCACTTTTTTTTTAAAGTTCTGTGCTTTTCAAGTGTCAAGTGTGGGAAAATTGAGTTTTTTTTCTATATGGGTCAAAGCCATAAAAAAAATGGTGTGCCCATATGAGTTACAACATATACTCATTATCTTTCATTTTTTTCGAAAATTCGATACGCGCAGCGTAAATGTAAAAAGCGATCCGCCTTTTTATTAGCAATTTTCATACAACGTACACTTTAAACAGGCTACGTGCATTTCTACCGTTTGTACCCCCAATAGATCAAATTCAGTTGCATGAGGACGTAACTTATACCGGTAGACCACAAAAGTTCATTTTTCGACCTCATTGGATATTACGCAACCATTCTTTCCATCATTTTCCTTGAAACATATCCTTATTATATTTATATTACAGGCTCTGAAATGAATAGCATATAATTTGAAGTATTATGACACAACATGACATTACATATTGTAAAAATACAGGTTGTAAAAAGAATCATTCATTTTTTAAATTATTTTTTTTCAACAGCAACGCCAACTTATGTATTGATATTAACTTAATTATTCTAATCCTTAAAAAAGGTATAATTAATTACATTTTTCTTTAGTTTTACAATTTTTTTAAATTAAAATAAAAAATAATACTTTTCTTTGATTATGACAAAAAGTCTTTTAATATTTTTATATAAAATACATTTATTTTTTAAATTTTGTATAAATATTATTAACCAAAGTAATTTTTTTTTAAATAATTCTATTCCATTATATTATTAATTACTTTGTATATCGTTTAGATAACAAATATACAATAATTACAATTAGATAATTACAATTTTATTGAAACTACTTAAATATTTGATATATTTAGAATTCCAAGACAAAAGCTTTAATCTTTTAAATTATTTAAGGCAATGAATTTATATCTGAGAAATGAAACATCAAGTTACTGTTTTCGTTGCTAAATTTGCAGATGACACAACTATAATTTCATCTTGTATTAATCCGGAACATTAGCTCAGGAAATTACGTATTAAAGCTTACCAAACTTCATTAACTTATATTATATATCTTAAGAAAAATAATTATTGAACGAAGTAATTTTATTTTTTTAAATAATTGTAATAGTTAGTTTATTAATAACTTTGTACATATTTTAGATAATAAATATACAACTTTTTCACTAAAAATGATTTTTAAATTCATATTTATATATTTTTCTTCAATATGTGGAATGTTTTGCAAATTTAAAAACGAAGAAATTACTTTATTTAATTTTCACATTTTTTTTCTACATTTATTCAATGATAAAAGATTACAAAATTAGCAAAAGCTTAGAAATTTGAAGGTAAGACTACACCTAGAAATTTTATAAAGTTGCGCAATAGTAAGCAGCTTTCTCGAATGCGTTGATTTGCAAGGGGACACTTTCATCTCTATTGTCTGGTATGAATTAAATTGATTTAGATTTAGACCAACGAATAAGGAATGGTATTAGTTGAAATTATACGTGAAGAATGCGTTGCACAATCAATTTAAATTCATATACGAAATCTTTGAGGGAGGTGTCTGCTATTATAAATAACATTTACCTGCACATTAAATCTCAATTTGAGGGCAGAGGAAATATAAAACGGACCGTCGAAGAGTGTTAATTAACATCCAAAAAGGAACGCATCTCAGTTGACACGCAATCTCAGCACTGTTATATTCCTGGTGCAAAGAGATTTCACTCGTTCTCCGGCCGCATCACAGCATCATCCCAAATCCCAATACCGCAAGATCAAAGGCCGCCTTTGATACATTCTTTTGTACATTGTTTAACCAGAGCGAACTGATTAATTTTGATCTCAACAAACCAAAGGAAGCAATTTAAAATTTGATAAACGTGGACGGGCCACGCGTGTACAGACCTAATAAATCCCGGGCGCCTACCAAAAGAGACTCTCTATTAAAATGTATTATTCATATTTGTTACAGCCCGAACGTGTGCAGATCCAAAAGCAGGACGTACTGCTGCCCAGGTTGGGCAAGGCACCACAGCCTAGGCCTCTGCGTCATACGTGAGTCTAATTAATACTACCTGAATAAATCAGAAGGTACCTAATTTAAATGATTTGTTTCAATGTGCAGCGGTATGCACGAGACCCTGCTCTCCTGGAAGATGCTACCAACCGAACCTCTGCATGTGCGAAGACGGACGAAGGGCTACCAGCTGCCTCGCCAAATACGGTTTGAAATCCATAAAATTCTATAATCCAATGATCTTACGTAATCTTTTTATGTTCAGGAAGCGAAGGGGGCAATTGCAGAGCTGTCTGTATGAATGGTGGAACTTGCAAAGATGGAAAATGCGAATGTAACGCAGGATACACCGGCGAATTTTGCACTGAACGTAATATCAGTATTAATTAATCTTATCCACAATTATTTAAACTATTTGATTGCAGCCATCTGCACCAGATCTTGTGAAAACGGAGGTCGCTGCGTCGGCCCTAATAGATGCGCTTGCATTTACGGATTCACTGGGAATCATTGCGAAATCGACTTTAGAACTGGTCCTTGCTATACAGGTTACAGAGGAAATCTTTGTCTGAATCAATTGGAAGGAGTCGTATGCACGAAAACCTTATGTTGCGCCACCGTTGGTAAAGCTTGGGGACACCCATGTCAGCACTGCCCTTCGAGATTGGACTGCAACACTGGATTCCTCAAGAAGCAAAAAACTGGAGAATGCATTGGTATTAATGAATTATAATATTAAGCAAATATAATTATACTGTACTTCTTAGATATCAATGAATGCGACACTATACCGCATTTGTGTAGAGGTGGTAAATGCGTGAACACGATTGGTTCTTTCGAATGCGAATGTCCCGTAGGGCAATCTAGAAATGTTGAAACGAATCAGTGCGACGATAGGGATGAATGCTTGGAAGAAGGTATCTGCGAAGATGGAAGATGTGTGAATACCGTTGGTGGCTACTATTGCTTATGTAACCCAGGTTTCATCCAAAGCCAAGATAGAACTTATTGCATTGGTATAGTTGTTTGAAACGCAATAACGAAACGAAAAGTATTTATTTGAATTATTTTAGATGGAAGGCAAGGATATTGCTACACGATGCGCGAAAACAACCAATGCCATTACCATTTACCGCACAAGCTATCAAAAAAAGACTGTTGCTGTGGTGTTAATATGGGAAAAGGCTGGGGCGATAATTGCGATAGGTGTCCAGAACATGGAGAAGGTTTATTCTTTTAACTTTGTATTATATTATTCATATCAATCAATTTCATACATTTAGGTGAACACAGGTCTTTATGCTTCGGCGGAATGCACACGATGCCAAAAGACTATCATAGTAGCGGCAATAAATCTTCATTGGACATAGGATTACTAACAGTGAATGAATGCGTACTTCGACCGGGCATATGCGGAAAGGGCGAGTGCATCGATACCAGGGAAGGATACCAGTGTAATTGTTACCCTGGTTTCTACATGGCAGAGTCGGGAAAATGCGAAGGTTCTATTTGTTTTTTGTTATAATTGTTGATTGCTTTAACATTGGTTTGTTCTGTTAGATATTGATGAATGTCGTTCGGGAAAATGTCAAAACGGAGTTTGTACCAACACTCCCGGCAGTTTCAATTGCCTTTGCCCATCCGGATTCGACATTTCTCCTGATGGATCTCTTTGCACTGATCATGACGAGTGCAGCGAAATTGGAATGTGCACCAATGGTATTTGTATCAATATGGATGGCAGCTTCAAATGCCAGTGTAAGAGCGGGTATAAACTATCTCCATCAGGACATGCTTGCATTGGTAATATCTGTACGAAAATGTATTTGAAATTTAAAAACTAATTCATTTTCAATTTAGATATTGATGAGTGTTACGAGAATCCCAGGATTTGTTTGAACGGTCGTTGCGAGAATACTCCAGGATCTTACAACTGCGTCTGCTTAACAGGGTTTGTAGTATCATCTGATAGGACTTTCTGCAGCGATTTGGATGAGTGCGCGAATACTGGGATGTGCATCCATGGAAGGTGTGTCAACATGGAGGGTTCTTTCAAGTGCGTCTGTGATTCTGGATATAAATTAGGTCCAGATGGACATCACTGCATGGACATCGATGAATGCATTCAGGATCCTTGCAAACATGGAACGTGCTACAATTCTCCTGGAAGTTTCCGTTGCGAATGTCATTCAGGTTTTAGTTTAGGCGCTGACGGCCGTTCTTGTCTAGATACTAGAAGAGATTTATGCTATCAACAGTATAAAGACGGAGTTTGTTTGAATCCATCGAGCATAGCAGTAACCAAATCCAGTTGTTGTTGCTGCACAGTAGTCACTGGACAACCTATGGGCTGGGGTACTTCATGCCAAGCTTGTCCAACATTTGGAACTTCAGAATTTGATTCCCTTTGCCCTCACGGACCTGGTCAAACCTTTGATGGAAACGACATTAACGAATGCGCGCAAAATCCCAACATCTGCCTAAACGGCGCTTGCGAAAACATGATAGGCACGTATCGCTGTATCTGCAATCCCGGATATAAAGTGGACGATGGCGGAAAGTTCTGTACAGACATCAACGAATGTGAAGAAGAGGAACTGGTGAGTTATCAGCACAATGTCATGTAGTTATGAATTATCAGATATTTTAGGTGTGCTCTGGAGGTCAATGTCGTAATACCCCTGGCAGTTTCCAATGCATTTGCCCAACAGGTACTCAATTAAATCCCAATTCGTTCACATGTGATGACATCGACGAGTGCAGAGAACTGGGACCGGAAGCCTGCTTCAATGGGGAGTGTGTGAACACAGCAGGATCTTATAAATGCGAATGCGATCCGGGGTCAATCTTGGATAATACCGGAAGGATTTGCATTGGTACGAACGTGCAATATCTTCAAAGGAAACAAATTCCTCAATTAATATTCTATTCCAGATAATAGAAAAGGTTCATGTTGGACACGTATGAATCACGGGAAATGCGAAAATAATCTGCCTCTATTAAGCCGTAGACAGGAATGCTGTTGCTCTGTTGGTCTTGCATGGGGATCACCTTGCGAAAGGTGTAATCGCAATGAGTGCGAGTGTCCCAGAGGGTATGCCAAAGTCGATGGAAAAGCTTGCTCCGATATAAACGAATGTGAATTAAATCCTGACATTTGTCGAGGAGGTGGTACCTGTATAAATACAGAAGGAAGTTTTACCTGTACTTGTCCATCTGGATTAACTTTAGACAATACAAGTAAGAAATGCAAACTTAAATTCTTCTCATTTAACATATAGTAAGAAACTTAAACAATTATATTGAAAGTAAACGTTATTTGTTAATTTACAATTATTTACAAATTTCTCTAATTGTTTTAAAATATAAAATGAATATACCGTTATATAATATTATAATATATTTAAAAAAACGAATTATTTAATAAGTAGAACAAAAGAAATAAACTAAATGTTATTAATATACGTCAATGTAATGTTTTAATTGTCTTGTGTTTATTATTGCTATAGGGACGCAATGTTTGGATATAAGACAGGAAAAATGCTACACACGTTACAAGCATGGCAAATGTACGCATTTCGTAGACGGCATCTTCAATAAGAACCTGTGCTGCTGTTCGTCGATTGGAAGGGCGTGGGGCGAGAAATGCGAGCTGTGTCCGAGGCTAGGTACACCCGCATTCACAGAATTGTGCCCCAGAGGATCAGGATTTTTAGAGCGAAAAGACATTAATGAGTGCACCGAGTTTCCTGGGATCTGTCAGAACGGACGCTGCAAGAACACCATTGGTGGCTATAGCTGCAGGTGCAACAAAGGCTATGATTTCGATGAAAACAGGATCAAATGCATAGGTATTTAAATAATTTATTACGTTGGAGAATTTATTACGAGCGCCGTTTTGCAGATATCGACGAGTGTAGCATTACCACTAATAACGTTTGCGGAAATGGCGTGTGCAAGAACACACCCGGAGACTTCGTGTGCGAGTGCAACGAAGGCTTCAGGACGATGGCTCCTATGCAGATTTGTATGGATATTAACGAGTGCGAGGAGATTATTGGCTTGTGCAGGGGTGGTAGATGCATCAATACCGAAGGATCTTACAAGTGCGAGTGTCCTCCTGGACATGAATTGTCTTCGGATAAGCAGTACTGCAAGGACATCGATGAATGCTCAAGGACAAGTGGGATTTGCTCGAATGGTGTTTGCGAGAATATGATGGGTACATATCAGTGCGTTTGCGATGAAGGCTACGAACAAAATGGACAAAAGACCCATTGCGAAGACTTTGATGAATGCGAAGATGAACCATGTGATGACATTTGCACGAATACCTTAGGAAGTTATTCATGTTCTTGCGGGTAAAAAACACATTAATTTAATTATTGATTTAGAAAAAAATAGATAGCAATATCTTTGCGTACTTTAAACTGTGTACGTTCATATGAACATCAATTTGGTGCTTTATCTATTTTTTATTACTAATTTGTTAGAAACCAAAATTTTAATGATTTTTTTACAAATATTTTTAGAAATGGTTATGCATTACAACTTGATGGAAAATCTTGTAAAGATATAGATGAATGCAAAGAGAACACGAGGATATGTAGCGGCGGTAAATGCGTAAACACTGAAGGAGGATACATCTGTCACTGTACCGACGGGTTGATACCTGGTGTTGGGGGCACTTCTTGCTTAGGTATTAATAAAAAAACATCTTGTCTCAAGTCTTGTATAAATATCTTGAAACATTGCAGATATCGATGAGTGTAAGCAGAATCCAAATATATGCGGGAACGGCGATTGCGTGAACACTCTTGGATCATTCCAGTGCCGATGTGAGGATGGTTATTCGGTAAAACCAGATGCAGGAGCTTCTTGTTCAGATGATGACGAGTGTTATTTGGGAAGCTACAATTGCCATGTTAACGCAGATTGCATCAATAATCCCGTAAGCTCGACCCTTTGCAATCAATCAATGGTTAGTAAAACGTTAATGACAATTGCAGGGATCGTATCAATGCAGATGTCAGGATGGCTTCACGGGCAATGGTGTCAGCTGCAGGGACATAAACGAGTGCCTTACAAACAACGGAGGTTGCGACCAGAACGCGCAGTGCGTAAACTCTGATGGTTCATTCAAATGTATTTGCGATGCTGGCTTTAAAGGAGACGGATACAGTTGTATCGACATCGACGAATGCTCCAACAATCCATCCTTGTGCGAGAATGGACAATGCTTGAATACACCGGGAGCTTTCAGATGCGAGTGTGAGATGGGATTTATGCATCCCAACGAGAAGAACGATCAGGCTTGCATCGGTATGTCCATTGAATACAGCTTTTTGTATAGTATTTGAAGTTATTTTTTATTCTTTGCAGACATAAACGAGTGCAAAATGTTTAACAATCTGTGCGTTTTCGGTAAATGCGAAAACACTTTCGGCATGTTCCGATGCGAATGTAACGACGGCTATAAATTAGATGGATCCGGCGGAAATTGCACGGATATTGATGAATGTGAAAGTCCACAATCCTGTCTCTATGGCAAATGTACTAACACCGATGGTTCATTCGATTGTCAGTGTCCAGCAAATTATGATTTAGTTGACGAAGGCAATGCTTGTATTGGTACGTTCTTTTTTAATTTTAATTATTGAGATGCTAATCATTAAATTTATTTGCAGATAAGAGAGTATCCAGGTGTTACTTAAACGCTGATCATAATAGACATTGCTCAAATCCAACAGCCGATTACATATCAAAGCCCACTTGTTGCTGTTCCGTGGGTAAAGCTTGGGGCCCGAATTGCGAACTATGTCCATCCGAAAACAGTAAAGAGTACCAGGAGCTATGTCCAGGCGGAATGGGTTACACACCGAACATAATAACCGTAAACTTTCGCACTTCCATAAATTAAGTTAGTTAACGTTGTCTTTTTAAGGTGGTCCTTGAGGACATAAATGAATGCGAGGAACACAACAATATATGTAAGAACGGACACTGCACCAACACCTTTGGCAGCTTTATGTGCTCTTGCAATGAAGGATTCAGACTGGACGAAACTGGAGCTGTTTGCGATGATATTAACGAATGCGAAGAACATCCCGATATTTGTAGCATCGGTAAATGTGTAAACGAATTAGGAAAATATTACTGTCAATGTCCGGAAGGTTATATGTCTCTACCTGGAAAGAGTAAGTTTATCTAATTGTTTTATTAAGTGTTAACATTGGATGTGTTGTAGAACAATGCGTTGATATGCGCAAGGATTTTTGCTATATGAATTACGAGCGGTGGACGTGTAGCTTACCGATGTCGCAGAACCAAACGAAGAAGATTTGCTGTTGCTCTATGGGAGAAGGTTGGGGTTCACCTTGCGAACCATGTCCTATACCAGGCACCAGTAGGTACAAGTTACAATATGTAACTATCTAGTTCAAATTAAATTAATTACTTTAATTACTTACTGTCATTGAATCAATGGTCTTCTTACTTTAAAATAATTGATATTTGTAGATGAATTTAATGGTTTGTGCGGAAAGTCAGTTCCCGGACAGATTATCAATCCGATGACGAATCGATCAGAAGAGATCGACGAATGTGAAATGATTCCGACTTTGTGCAAGAACGGCGATTGCATGAATACACCTGGAAGTTTCGAATGCAACTGCAATAGAGGTTACACTTACGATATTAATTCGCACTACTGCATCGATGAGAACGAATGCCTGAGAGTTCCAAATCCTTGCGAAGGCAATGCCCAATGTATAAATCTTCCGGGAAGTTTCGAATGCAAATGTCCCGAAGGATACAAACACGGCACCAGTTTTATGGATTGCGTCGACGTTAACGAATGTTCCGATCGACATAGAATTTGCGCAAACGGCGAATGCAAGAACTTGCAAGGATCTTTCCAGTGCATATGCAATCCCGGATTCATTCTGACAACCGCACGAGATAATTGCATCGATATTGATGAATGTGCCAGACATCCGAATATATGTAATGATGGCACTTGCGTTAATACTATTGGTTCTTATAAATGTCATTGCAACCCTGGTTTTAAATTGAGTCCTAACAATGATTGCGTGGATGAAGATGAATGTCACATGAAACCTTACTTATGTAGGAACGGAAGATGTAGGAATAATATTGGCTCATTTGTGTGTGATTGCGCTCATGGATACACACTTTCTGTAGATGGAACTCACTGTAGAGATATTGATGAGTGTCACGAGGTTAAATATTAAAAATTCATTTGATTAAGTTATATTAAATATAATGCTCTCATTTCAGTCTGCTGGTACATGTCCACCTCCTGGAAAATGCCAAAACATTATGGGTTCCCACATATGCAATTGTCCAGATGGTTATGAAATAAGTTCAGTAACAAACAGGTGCGAAGATATCGATGAATGTAACAATCCCGGTATTTGCGATAATGGCATATGCGTTAATACCGAAGGAGGTGCGTACTGCACTTGTCCAGATGGATTCATATTGAATAGTCACCAGATGAAATGCATCGATGTTAGGAAGGAGCAATGTTATGATCATTTCTTCAGCCGTTTCTGTTCTGAACCTAGGGGTATGAGCATGACGGAGCGCGAATGCTGCTGTTCGAGAGGTGCTGCTTGGGGTAGAAGCTGCGAAGAATGTCCGAGCGAAGGATCACGTATGCTGCAGCAAAGTACAAAAAGGATTTGAACTTAAAAATAATAATTGTTTCAGCCGAGTATCTTCGATTGTGCCCAGAAGGACCTGGCAGGATGGATACGGGAAGCGATATTAACGAATGCGAATTAATGCCGAACGTGTGCGAGGGTGGTGATTGCATCAATACGGATGGCTCCTTCCGATGCGATTGTCCTTCCGGATACGTTCTCGATAATACCGGAAAGAAGTGCATCGACGATAATGAATGTATTATCGGTCAAAATATTTGCGGGAATGGAACTTGCTCCAACGTCGTCGGAGGCTTTGAGTGCTCCTGCAATGACGGGTTTGCACCTGGTCCTCTTCAGGTTATTATCCCTTAGGGGCTCTCAAATGAGAAAATTAAATTCCTTGTTTCATTGTCTAGGTATGCGAGGATGTTAACGAATGCCATGAAATTGGAAACCAATGTGCGTTCAGGTGCCACAATGTACCTGGTTCATTCAGGTGCATTTGCCCTTATGGATACGCCCTCGCCCCAGATGGCAGACATTGCCAAGGTAAATAATTTAGAAGTAACTTGAAAAAAGTAATTATATAAAATTAATTGTACGTCCTTGTAGATGTGGATGAATGCAATACTCCTGCCAACAATTGCAAATTCCAATGCAAGAATCTCATCGGTTCCTTCATGTGCATATGTCCCGAAGGATATACCCAAGTTGGAATGACGGATAACTGCGTGGACGTTAATGAATGCAGCATGAATCCAAGCTTATGCTCAAACGGCAATTGCATCAATACTCAAGGCTCGTACAGATGCGATTGCATCGACGGCTTTGAATCCAGTCAAGACCAGAAGTCTTGCGTCGGTAAGTGGCGTCCTCTGTAGCGCGCAGCCCAACTCTCACCTCTTCAAATATCCTACAGATGGAATATGCTTATACATCGGAGACATCCTTATTTACCGTCATGCACACACTACACGCTTTTATTTTCTTCTTCTCTTGTGTAACTTCTTTTATACTCACTTTTTTCTCTACAGATAGGAGACAAGGGTTCTGCTTCAGGCAACTTATACACGGTCGCTGCACGACCCACAACAGGGAAATGAGACGGGTAACAAAGGCCGACTGTTGTTGCTCTATGGGGGAGGCCTGGGGATCCAATTGCGAAATCTGTCCATCCAAATACTCGCCACAGTACCAGGAATTGTGCCTGGAAAGCGGTTTCACCGTTGATGGACAAGGTAAACACCTTTGGAGCCGTTTACTTTTGCTAAATCCTCTAACGTCGTGTCGGATCGCTCAAAATTAGGAATGGATTTGCCGTCGGTGCAAATAACTTTTCATTGCTAAAATATTCAAATGGCTATCCGGTATTCGCCACGATGTACGTGGGGCGCGTAATTAAAATTCTAATGGCCTTTCCAATTGTACGTAAAGCGTTGGAGAGAAAATGGACGAACTGACTTGATGCCACGCAATGCGTATATTAAATACCCTAATTTAAATAAAAGTAATTGTTACATAAAACATTGCGAAGAAGAAATTGCGATTAATTGGAAACGTTTCTGTAATAACAATTCAAAGAAAGAAAACTATTTTTTGCGATAAATAATATAAAATATATTACGAAAATGTTTCTAGCTATTGACAACATTCTTAATTTACTTTTAAAATAGAAAAAAACGTATGAAAAAATGAATAATAATGTTTACGTTATACAATGTATGTACGTTCGAACGAATAGACACGTTCTATATAGATAATAATGGTTTTTCAGTATCACTTTCACAATAATATTTTTTTCTTTAAATTTATTATTAAACAATAGTCAATAATTTAAAAACTCTTACATTTGAAAGCTTTCAATCTCCTGTTGAATAATGTTTAAAATCAAATAATTTTTACTAAGTTTAAACTGTCAAATATCAACATAAAATATCATTGCAATAATTATACAAATAATTATATAGATAGAAATAAGACATGAATCATTGCAACGTGTTATAGCGTAGATCTTTCTGAATATTGTAATTGTTTTTGATGATTAGCGTATATTTTTCTGTTAAATCAAGTCGATAATGTTTTTCCCTATTGAATACAAAAATAATGTTGACTCACAATATAAATAAGCGAAATATTATGTGTCTAATGAGATTTTAATGTTGTAGATGTAGATGAATGCGCAACAATTCCGGATTTGTGCAGGAACGGCAAGTGCATTAACACCTTGGGCTCGTACAGATGCATCTGCGATAAAGGTTTTAAACCAGATGGGCTGGGATTACAGTGCTACGGTAAGGCAATTCCCTTAACTCCGAACAATTTAAAGCACCTCATCCGATTTCGATTTGATTCCAGACGTAAACGAATGCGAGCTTAATCCGGCCCCGTGCCAATACAACTGCCAAAACACGGAGGGCAGCTACACGTGCTCATGTCCACCGGGCTTCCTGCTAAATCCCGACGGCTCGTCCTGCAGGGACCAGGACGAATGCGCCTCAGGCCAACACTTATGTCAACACAATTGCATCAACACGCAGGGAAGCTACACTTGTTCCTGTCATAGCGGATACACACAAGACGGCGACGATTGCATCGGTATGGGATAACAGATTGAAATAAGATGAATGAAGCAATCTTCACTTTTGTGGTTTCAATTCAATTACATCGCTTTTGTTTTTGTTTCCGCTCGATAGATATCAACGAATGTCTGCAGGAGGGCGTCTGTCCTCGACCCGGAAAATGCGTGAACATCTTGGGCAGCTTCAAGTGCATCTGTCCTCGTGGTTTCAAGCTCGACTCTACTGGAACATACTGCGTGGATGCCGACGAATGCTTGGATGACACCAAGTGCTCCGAAGGTTCGAAAGAGTTTGGAGCAAGCTGCGTCCACGGGTAAATTAATCGAGCAAGTTTTCTCTTGACTGCAGGATGCCAGAACTTGATCGGCGGCTTCAAATGCGGATGCCCCGAGGGCTACTACTTGCATCATTACTACAACCATTGCGTCGACAAGAACGAGTGTAACAACAGTCCCTGCGGAGCGACCGGAACTTGCTTCAATACTCCAGGCAGCTACAGATGCGGTTGCCCGGATGGATTCCAATTCGACAGCAAATTAAACAATTGCATACAGGTAAGCCGGATTCGGTAGCATCGAGTTTCACAGGTGATCATCTTACCTATGTTTCCAGATGAGCTCTTCTTGCATGGGCGCCCCTTGCGCATTCGGATGCACCGCCCTCGGCCCGCAGAGCTTCTCATGCGGATGTCCTCAAGGATATCAGCGCATCGGGCAAGGACATTGTCTCGCTACAATCACTCCTTACGGCCAGGACATCGGCAACGTTCCTACCTACCCCATAGGTGACCCAGTCGCCGACGATAAATTGATTTCCACCGAAGGGTGCTTCTCGTGCAAGGTAAAATATAAAGTGTATAAAATGAAAAACTGGTTTCTAATTTTTAGTATTTAAAAAGTTTATCGAAATTATTTCTAGAACATTAATTTCGAAACTACAAATACAAAAAAAAAAAATCATATAAAAAACTATAACAACTGAAATTAGTAAAAGAACATAACGTATTATTATGTTTTTACAAATGTATATCTGGTTTTAAAAATTTACAAATCCTATTAATATATTACTCACATTTCCAAGAGCACGTAATTTATGAGTTAATCCCACAGATTAATGGCAGACACAGGAGGGAGTCGCGCAGGAATCGACAGGTTGCTAATTCTACACTCTTCGACTTGGCTCCTCGATCATTGAGGACCATGAGAAGGAGCGTGAGGAGGAACAAGAGGCACGGCCACGGACAGGAGATCGACATCACCATCAATCTTAGCCAGACCAAGCACAGAATGAGAATTGTGAAAGTACAACCCGCAGTCACGGTACGTGCCCACTCTAATATTATCCAAAACACAGTAAAACTCTAAAATTATAACTTGTACGCTTTGCAGCGCGAAATGGATTATAAGATTGTCGAAGGAACCGACACGAAGAAGTTCGAGCTCCTGAAGAAGAACGGCGTTTGGGGGCTGCACTTCAGGCGCAGATTGAAACATCCCGGAAAGTTTGACATCGTAATTCACGGCCGACCCGCCGATCTCCAAGCCAAGAGACACTTTGAGAACGATCTATACGAGAAGCCACTAACTTTGCGAGTCAGGTTGAACGTCGTCGAGTAACACAGCCCACCCCCAATCTTAGTTAAATTATTTAATTGAAACGAAACGAAACCAAGAAATAATGAAAATATTCTATTTATGTATATGTACCCTCCCAATTTTTAAAGTGCCTTATAATTAAGCTACAAAAATTATAAAAATCAAAATACGCAAAAAAATATTCGGCTGTGAGATTTTAAAACGCGCACAGCTTTCTAATCCAACAGATCTATTTACTAATTGTGATTTATAAAGAAATCGACACACTGCCATAATTATGTGTTTCAGAAGAAGAAATATTGCAAATATTTTTATTATATTATTATATCCGGTGTTCATAATTTACAGCCGCTTGTTAACTATTTTTTTTATTAATAATTTTATTTTTTATTAATCGAATCATAAAGTTCTAGCTATAAAGTATTATATAGAAAAGACCTTTTTTTGTTTTTATTTTGTTTTATTGATGAACTAAGCGAGTTTCTTTTATTTTCTCCTTTTTTTTTCTATATCATAGTCCATTATGTTTGCATATAATATTTATGTAATGTATAGTTAGAATTTTAAGCTGCAATGGAATATGTTTAAAACTAGTATTGCTGTGTAAATTTAGTGCTTTCCTCTATTGTAATAACCGATTTTTTTTCTACAAAAAAAAAACACTAAACAAACAAGAATAAAGTAACAAGTGATATATCGAGATTGGATTCATTAAATCAGTGCGAATTTTTGTGGAAATTTCTAGAGCTTCGTAATTAATTACCTGAGGCAAGGCACAGGTAGAGTCTACCTGAAAAGAGGGGATGCGTTCTTTCCTTCCGGAGCAAGTCGTTTAAACCCAACGCAACGAACGTCAAGTTCCGATTTTATCGGTGAAGCTTCCTCGCCTTTCCCACCTTTATTCATTTTTTTTAACTCCGTTATCCTGCTAAAAATAATTTTAAAAACAAGATTTATTTTACATCCTCTTCTTTTTTTGTGGGCGCTCGGTGTTTCGATTTTTGCAGTGCGAGGAAATGTTTATTAAGCCGTGTAGAATGATCCTCTTCCCCCTCCTTCCTGCCGGCCATAAAGTAAGGTTTACAATTTTTAATTTCGTTAGCATACATTTTCATAATAAGAGCAACGCCAGGGCACTAACTATATTAAATATATTATTCCCTGAAATTACATTACGAAATTGTCCGTATAAATTCTTATGATGGAAACTCTTACGCGGTTTACAGATTCAAATCAGTTTATTTAAATTTTAATAGATTTTTGTTCTCTTTATTTTATTATATTTGCACATACATTCAACAAGTGGAAAAGCATTTAAAATAATTTAAATAAGGGTTTTTATAAACGATTTTGGGCGACTAATAGACAAATGGTTAAGTTCATCATGAAGGTACAGTCACATAAATGAGGTTCAGCATATGGATTTCCAGCTAAGTCAATGGACAATGAAAGTGTTAGGGATAGCAGCAGATACACAGACAAAGGGAATAGTGGAATCGCAGAGTATCATTATACTACTGACGTCAACCTACAAGACGACAGCCAACCAAAAAAAACAAGAAGAAAATAATTTTAAATACTTCAAAATACTTAATTAACGTTATAATTACATTAATACATTAATTAAATTAATTCATAATGAACTGATAATCACAATCACTCCATATGAAGTGTCCAATAAAGTAAATGTAAATAAAAATATATTATTTGTGGTCTGTAATTATCCGCAAAAATGATTGGAAAATTTAAAAAAACAACAAATATTCCAGAAATAAATCTTTATTTATTAACAAGAATTAAAATATAGAAATTATAAGTGAAATTATTTAATATATACATATTTCTATTTAATAATCTATTATAAATAATTATAATCAATATCCAATGGATAATTTAAAATCAATAATGTATTAATTATTAAGGTAATTAGTAATTAATAAATATTATTGAAGTCTAAAAATTATAAAGTAAAAGCGTATATTATTATTTACAAAGCTTTTAAATATATATTAGTCAATTTGAAGAGAACAATTAAGAGGTAATTTAAAAGGCATATTATGATAAATTAATATGAATTGTGTGTACCGTTTTATGTACTTGTTGTGTATTATTCAATCATTCGAAATTAATTGTTTAAAATTGCTAATGCAATCGCAACAGAAGTTGAGAGCCCTCTCCTCCCACACCCAGAGTTCACGAAGATCCGTCGGAAGGCCGATGGTTCCAACTCTGACGCCGGGCGGAATTAAAGTGCAATTTCCCGGTTTCCTCCTCAGCACTTTAACAGTGAACGATCTCGGTTGACACTCGAATCTGTTGTACCAACACTTGTCTTTCAAGCACTCCACCGATCTCATGTACCGAGGGAAGTAATCAATCCCTAAATCAGACCAGTGCACCTTTGACTTGCAATGCCACGCCAAAGCTTCAGGTCCTTCGCGCCGCGTTCTGCCCTTTGCGAGATGCCCTCGCCGGAGATTGACTTCGATGTGGTCGACATTCCATGCCGGCTCGTCGCTCAATTCCTGCTCGAAATCGCTATCCACGTAGAACGAAGGGTCAAAAACCGTTTTTCTCCTCCTGTCGCCCTCATTATTTTTGATTAGTATTTCTGGTGCTTCAATGCTCATGTAGCGCGCATTGAACGCCGGCCCCAATATTTTCCCCAAGATTTCCTTCGGCATTTCCTTGCAATTCTGCTCAACCGACGAAACCACCGACGCCATAGCCATTAGCGTAAGAAAAGCTACAGGATCGGGCATCTTGTGATGATTGATTTAGTTGCAGAAACAGCAGAAGTTCACGTATCTTTCCTCCCAGATCCACAGATCGAAAAGGCCACCCGTCACGCGGATGGGGCCTATATTAACGCCAGGTTTAATATACTTGCAATTATTTCGTCTCCTCTTCAACAGTTTTACGACAAATGGTTTAGGTTTACAGGTTCGATGACCGTACCAGCAGGGCGTACCCATGCAATGCACTGATCTCAGAAAGCGCGGAAAGTAGTCGACTCCTAAATCGAACCATACGATTTTTGATTTGCAAGTCCACTGACGTTGTCTCCTCACGAACGCTCGTTTTTCTCTCTTCAAATACAGATGACCATCAGCAATGTGGTCTACAGTCCAAGCTGGTTTATTGCTTAACTCTTCAGCGTAAGTCTCGTTCACATAAAAAGCCGGTGCATACGGTGATTCCCTTTTCCCGCAGCCCACCTGCACTTGGCTACTATTAATAGGCTTTCTTATACTCATGTAACGCGTGTTGTAGGAAGATCCCAGCATGTGGCCCAATAGTTCTTCTGGTATTTCACTGCATTCCTGAGGCTTCCCAAACGCGCTCTCGCACAATAATAATAACACAACTAAGAATACTACAAGTTCCATGTTAAGTCATCATTAATTCGAACAAATCATACTAATAATTAAAAAAATATCACAACGATTTTATTTTCAAAAGAGTATTATTATTTTTGTTTCCACTAGAAACCTTGATTCATCGAATGACATGAAAACGATAAACTGTAGAAAAACTGTATTTTTTTCTACATCTAAACAAATTTTAAGATTTTTATGCATTTCGTAAATAAAAACAAGTATTTCATAGTTTATATTTTTATTTTTCTTAACTGGGCTAACTATATTTAAAATACACAAACAATATAAATATAAATACATTTAGGTAGATGGTGCCACGCAATCGCAGCAATAATTAATATTTTTCTCCTCCCAGACCCATTTTTCACGTAACTCTACCGGTAATCCTTCCATCCCAACTTTGTTACCACGTTTGATAACAACACAATCTCCAATCTTTCGTCGCAACAATTTCACTGTGACCGAGCGTGGTTTGCAGATGTTAGAGAACCAACATGTTCCGAAGCACTTCATCGATCTCAAGAACCTTGGGTAATAATCAGGTCCTAGGTCGAGCCACGAGATTTCCTTATCGCATTCCCACTTCTTCTTTCTATTAGCATTACGTTTTACTAGGTTTTTGCTGGTTCCGTACAAGAAGCGACCTAACAAAGAATCGGGCTTCACGTCTTGGATCTCACGGGAATAGTCTTCATCCACGTAGAAGGATAATGCAGGGTCTGCATTTCTTTTTGGTCCATCCACCATGTCGAGAGCAAAAGTGTCATTCGGAAGTTCCGTTCGCATATACCTTTCGTTGAAAACGCCATCCAACGATTGTTTGAGCACCTCATCTGGAGTCTTCTTACATATCAATACATTACAGATGTAACACTTACTCACTAATAAAAGAGTAAACAAATGCAAGTACATGTTGCATACCCAGAGACTTCTCTAGTAATGAAAATGTTCACAAATGTCCACCAGGTATTCACAAACTAATTACAGGATAATTTTCAAAAACATAATGTCCCTATAATTATAATTAGTTATAACTTTTGGAACATTGTTCTCTAAGCACTGATGATTAAGTAACTTTCACACAATTTAAAACTCAACAATAAATTGGTTATTGATTCCAACTTTTCGTTCATCGTAAATCTTCTTCATACTGCTGAATCCGTAAAGTGGCTAACAAAATTTACACAAATATCTACGAGGTAATAAGCACATATTAATTTTGAAAAGCATAATTTTCTTATAATTAGTTAGTTGTAACTTATACTTTTGGAACCTTGTTCTTTAAGCACTGACGGTCACGAACTGAGTTTGGAAAAACTTTCACGCAACTTAAAGTTCAACGAAAAAAATGATAGTGGTTTAACGATCTCTTCATTTGTTCTTTTGCGTAAATCGGAAAGCAATAAAACAATGATTTGAAGTAATAAAACGGAAAATCGTTCATAGATTTGAATTTTCTTCTTACTACCCGAAATCCGTGAAGCGGAAGGTCAATAATTAAGGAGGGAACTCGGGAATAATTAATAAATTAATTTTGGCGCCGTATCAGACGGGTAAAAAGTTTTTAATTCTCTTAATGGCAAATGCATATAGTCCTAATTTAATGGGGGCCCTTTTAAAAAAGTTTCGTCCTAATCTTAAAAATTGTTTTTCTCGCCGAGAGCTCGACGTTTTCCCGTTATAAACCTGCAATTTATACAACGTGCAATTTCAGCACTTTTAAAAAAACCGTTTACAACTATCGCCGTATAAAGCTCAATCTTATTAAGGGGACACTTTGAACACTCACACATATATACATACATATACACACAAACTCGCTTTTGCAAAATTAACAAATAATTAAAGTGGAAAAAAATCGCGACACGAGTGCACTTCGTTCATTTTGCAGTTGTAAATATTTGCGACGGATTATGCATTTAGTGTAACGCTATCTTTACGTCGGATAGATAATAAATTGAATTAATGCTTTTAAGTCTTCAAATTGAATCAGGTTTATTCAAATTTATTTTAGTTTTATCTAATTTGTAAGTACAACAATACCTCGCATTGTGCGGCTTCGATCAGTCCGGATTAACCTTGCTTAACGAGTTTAATCCTTTCCAAAATTTCTAGATTTTTACTCGTATAGTGAAACATTTTCAAAAATACACATAAGTTTTCTCTTCTCATAGTCACTCGTTATACGAAACGTCGCTCGTTAAGTGAGTTATTTTTCTTACAATTAATTTTGCTCGTTAAGCGAAATGCTCGTTATCCGTGAAATCAACATTTTTATTTATAACCTTATACATTTCAATTATATTATATAACAAAAATAAGAAAAACAAAATTGTATATAGATTGAAGAACGAAACAATTATACATAAATAATATAGAATTAAATATATTTTAATTATTTTTTTTCTTTCCCAATTATATGAAATATGGGATAAAAACATGAATGTAAATTATTTATAGAAGTATAAATAATTAAAAATAATGATGAAATTCACGATTATTTTTAGGACTGAATCACCGCTATCCATTTGTATAGTCATGTTATTCAGTAAATACAAATTAATATTAATTGGGAAGTTATTTTAATTAGAATAATTAATATATAAATATAAATTTGGTATGTAATTATATATCTTAATTATTATTTTTCTGTGAAGTCTTAGAATGTATTAAATAATTAGATACAAAGGCTATTGACTTTAATTGCGGACTATCGATCAATTTGTTTCATTCTATTATTTTCTAGTTTGAAGACGCTACGTTGTTTACTATTTGTTGGACAGCCATGGAGAGTGAACGCTGTCAGTCAATTTGTAAACATTGGAAAAAATGGTCATCATTATACGATGCAATTTAAATGGTCTCAGTCCAACCAATATCAAAGTCGTGCTAGATTCTACTCTGGGGGAGTTTGCTTCTTTGTTTACAATAAAAAAATATTGGTTGGCAGAGTTTAAACGAGGTCGTACGAGTGAAGAAAAATCAACAAAATAGTATTGGATGACCGTCGATTCAAATCTAGCAGACATGGTAGGCATTTCTAAAAGTGCTGTATAACGTAAATTTTGACATGAGGAAGCTGTGCAAGATGGGAGCAGCGTTTGGTCACAATCCAGACAATACACGCGATGGCCAAAATCAATGAGTTAAAGTTCGAATTGCTCAGGGTGCGTAAGGAAGCAAATCGCCTGATTTAGCTCGCTCGGATTTACTCTTTCTAAACTTAAAAAAATGGCTCGATTGTAAAAGGTTTGCCAATAATGAAGAGTCTGCAGTTGCTGGCTATTATCTACAAAATAGACGGTTCTCACTATAAACAGGATATCGTAGCTATTGAACATCATTGAGAAAAGTGTAATAAATTATTTGTATAAAATTGAATTAATTTTAATTTGCAAAATAGGTTGGGAAATTCAAACTCATATTTTTCCATTATTTTTTTTATGTCCTATTTACAAACTGTTCATCAGTGAACATAGAGTAAATTTAAGATTGCGGTTGACATTAATTGGATAATCTTTCCCGGTGGATTATGAAGATTTGTTGGTTGGCTCTCGTCTTGCAGGTTAACTTCAGTAGTACATTGATGCTCTGCGATTCCACTATTTACTTTCACTGTGAATCTGATGCTATCCTTAACACTGTCATTGTCCATCGACTTGGTTGAAGGTTCATATGCTGAACCTCATTTATTTGACTGTCCATCTATGATGAACGATGATCCTTACTGCAAGCACCGAAAGGGCTCACAAAGGGAATGGCTTGACCAGTATTTGAACCAGCGCCCACTAAATTGTGAGTAGGACGACTTAACCATTCGGCCTTTTCCATCAATTTATATAAATATTTAAAAAAAGATAATAGATTTTCTAGTAAACAATATATTATTACTAGTGTTTATACAAAAACCGACTTTTAAAATTTTATTTTTAATTTTTCTAAGAAAATATGATTTGAACATATATTTCATTAGATTTCTTTCGTCTTTTGCATCGGCAAACAACAGTTATATTAGACAAAGAGCTATTATATCTCGTTTACGCGTTTTTTATAAATTTATTATTTTAATTTATTTTATATTTCACGTGAGAAGTGTAATATTTGAAATTCGAGTAAAATATTTGTATTTCATTTCTATAAGACAATAGTTTAACACTTCTGTCTCCACCTTTTTCTAAAAAATTGATTTATAATAATATAATTAATTTAAAAAAAGGACGGAAAGTCTGCAATCAGTAGACAATTGTATGTATAAAATACATTGCATTTTATAAAGTAATAATTTGGATCATACACATCTATTGTTTTTTGATAAAAACGCAAATCTGCTGCAAATGTTTAAAATATTTTTTTTTATCAGATGCACCAGATTTATATGATGAATACTTTGTCAAATCTGCCAACCTTTTGAATATAATTATTATGCCATAAACATATTTTTAATACAATTAATAAAATGTAATGGGTTTAACTGTCCATCAAATACAAACGGAATGTAAACAAAACCTAATTTAATAAAAAAGTGCACAGCGCGCCCGAAATATAAATAAAACTAAAAATAATATAAAAATGTAAAATAAACATGTGTCTACGTTGAAATTGTAAAATTCCATGTGTATCAAATAAATTGGACGGAAATTTGATTTGAATAAATGCTAGTCCAGCATTATTTGATATATTAAACGAGAGAGGAAACGAAAAAATAATGGAACAAAACATGCGAATAGTGTAATGCGAATTTTGGCCGTAATGCGTGTAAAATAAACAGGATGTTTGAAAATTTATATTAATAGGGTTTCAATACATGTGATTATTATAAAAAGTGGAATCTTTTAGTGGATAGATTATTTGGAATGATTAAATTCTACGATTACGATCGATTCAGAGTTCAGAATATGTCCATTTTATTATGCTTGAGAAATTGGCAGCATTACAAAATGTAATAATTTATTAACGTTCATTTTGTTGTATAATGATTGTATATTTTAATATTAATATGATATTATATTAATTAGTGTACTAATTAATAGATTTTATATTATAACAAAAGCATTTTCGTTTCATATCAACATAAATCTATAAATTCATAACAAAAGTAATTACTATAATATACTTATTTGCTGATATTATTTTATAAATATTCTATAAATTTTATAATAATTAGTGCATTACCAAGATTGACTAGTTAGGAAATATTAATATTATCTACAGAAAAATTAACACACAATGTGGACAATAAATATGTTTAAATAATATAAAATAATAGAATTTTAATTATAATATATTAAGTACATTTGACTATAATTTACATAAAAAAATTTAAACAATTCAAAGTTTATACATAAATTATAATATACCGTATTTTTCGGACTATAAGATGCACCTTTTTACATAGAAAAATAGAGTCAAATTTTGGGTGCGTCTTATGGTTTTTTTCAATAAATCGTCTCTAAATTTGAAAATTAAATTAAATAGACTTTCATATAACGTAAATATGATCACTTATGGTAAACAGAAAAGCAGAAAGACATTTTGGTACACCACCAATAAAGAAAATGGCTCTAGAATAGAGAAAACAAGAGGAACAATTAAAACTGTTAAGTAAAGACAAGAAAACATTCCGTTCGCACTTATAAAAATGGACTCAAATTATGTGTGCGTCTTATGGTCCGAAGGTAACTTTAAAATATTTTTTTTCAATTAATCGACTCTTAATTTGAGGTGCGTCTTATTGTCCGGTATGTCTTATAATCCGAAAAATACGGTACTTGTTAGCCTGTTTCCATGAGAACAAAATATATATATGATAACAAGTAGTTTATGGATATTTGAGTTGGGCTCAATGCGACAGACTTAAATGTGTCATTTTAATTTTTAATTGTATTTTTTTTAAACTTGTTTAAATATTTAATGGTATTATAATAATTAGTGTATTTACATAAATTAAACTATTTCCCACAATTTAAAATGCGTATCGGATAACTAATATTCTCAGAAATTATTTACCAAATGTACAGCATAAATGATTGTAAATATAAATCAAATTTAAAATGCGAAAAAATGTGGATGAAGTTTAAATATTTTTGGTTGTGATATAAAAATTAAATTATATTTAAATGGAATACAGACAAAGCTTAAAAAGTAAAACTTTTATTATGTAAAAAGTGAGAACTTATTGGATATTATGTTGATAAGCCGTTAGATTTACTTATTTTGCATTTTGTTCTACCTGTTTGGAAATACTATAAGAAATTATTTTAATTGAACAGTTTTCGAATAAATTTAGGTTTTGAGAAAATTATTTGTAAGTAAAATTATCATTTTTTTTCCAATTGAAATAAAGTTAATTGTTAACAAGTTGTTTTTATTATGTCATATAATATATTTATTTTACAATCTATTCCTGTGAACATTAAGTAAATCTTATTACTTTTATTTTTGGTAAACTCTCCAATTGAAGATTTTATGCTCTACAATGCCACTATTCACTTTGTCTGATAACAAATTATAACTGTAAATAATACTAGGTACTACTTTATAGGTACTGATAAGTAATTATGAAATTATTAATATTTCAAATCCGTTTAAATAATATATAAACCCTTTATTCAATAAATTAAAATGTTCAGACAAATCATCGGATTATTTTCATTATTAATAAGCTAAAATTTTTCTATAAAAAAAATCTTTCATATTTATGATTATATCATTCAGAGAAAAAAAAATCATAATAATAGAATAATTTGATAAACAATTAATAAATAAAGATAACATTTATTTATATCAGGAGTTAAAGTTATACATTGATATAACTTTTAAACAGCGTAAATCTAAAAATATTTCCAATAGTTCCTAAATAATTTCTTAGAATTTATAGAGAATAAAATGAAAGTTACAGTGATGGATTATTGTATTAAACTTGAAATAGAGAAATTGAGAAATATTCAAATAAATATTAGTGACAATACCATTTTTTTTTGTTGATGTTAAATAAATTAAGTTAAAATGATATATAATTGAAATATGTATTAGATTTATAAAACTGAAATAAATAATACTGGAGATATGAAATTTAAAGTGGGTGCTACACGAAGCGTTCTTTTCAAGTTTTGAAGAAAAATTAAATACGTGAGTTCACTTCGCCGATTAAGGCTTTTAAAGCAATTTGAATATTCAGCTTAGCGATAAGAAGAACGCAGTGCCATAAATAATTTAGATAAGACTAACGTATGGAAAGAACTGCGTGGCATGTGACATAAAACGCAATGTCTACATTTTTAGTGTGAACTAAACGTCGCTTTTTGATGTACTCGATGGATGCACTCCGGACAAGATACGCATGCAAACTAACAACGTTCGCTTTTTAACATTCCAATTAGTAAAAGGTGAGTTGCATTCTGCACGTGGTTTGTATCTTTGAAGGTCGCTAATTGTTTGCGTTGGTGCCAGGGGTTGGGATGGTTGAATTTGGGATTTGTACAGGTGTAGATAAATAAATATAATGGTGGTTGGGGGAGAGGAAGAAGAGCGATGAGGGTTCGTTTAAAATATGAGCATGAAGTCTTGGGGCTGCGCATATTGAGGATGGAAGGGAATAGCATCAAGAGCAGCAAAGGTGGGGGAAGTGAGTAGCCTCAGTAGTTCTACCCGCAGTGTGTCAGCGCAGTGGGTGCTATATGGTCGCGGCTGGTCTCCAAATAGATCGACCGACGTGTTCTCCACGCCTTCCCCACAGAGATGAGCATATCTCCACCACCTCTTATACCACCATCATCATCACTTAATAAAAATTGAGAACCACTTTTTTTTTTAAATATACAGTTTTCGTGTTATTTACTGTGCTGTTCGTACTAAATCGCATTGTTGTTTATCCAACAAAAAAAATCCGCAAGTGTACCACGACTGCTACCTATCTCTCCGCACCAGTTACACCCCCTCCGTAACCACGACCATAATTAGAGATGGATGAAGTTAACTTCGCGGCCCAGTGCCTGCTGGAGATGTCCCATAGCAAATACCATTGCCGACCATTGGACCTCTCCAGGCCTCTGTCCCATTCCATCTTCCAGAACATGGGTCCTGCTGTTATTGTTGAGCCGGTGCCGGCCGCCGGTAGCTTCATCAAAGAAGAACAAGTGTCCACCAGCCCAAACACCGAGTCCTCCTCCTACATGGTAGCCCGCATCCTTACAGATCTCACCCGCATCAAACAGGAACCGGTACCGGAAGTGCCCTCCGACGACGACGAGGGCAGCCTCACGATCAAAGAGGAACAGGACGAAGGATATAACAGTTTAATGGATACTAGTGCCGCGACAACCTCGAGCAAAGTGGAGCCGGTGGTAGCCGCCGCCAAGAAGTCGGTGCCCGCTAAGGGTCAACCTAGGCTTGGTCCGCAACTCCGGAAGACTCACAAGTGTCAGTACGATGGATGCCACAAAGTGTACGGCAAAAGCTCCCATCTGAAAGCTCACCTGCGAACGCACACAGGTGAGTCACGACTCCTCCTGACCATACAGCAAACATCCTCACCCCATCAACCAGTTGCACCATACAAAGCGACCAACGCCCATCGCCCATCCAATGCAATAAACCCATAACAGAGCGCAAAAAAAACGGCTTATTATTGCTGCTACTTGGGCAACGCTTGTTGTTATTATGTACAATTAGCCGTGCTTGTTGCAGAACAACAATAACAGTTTTAAGCAACGAGATAATAACAACTTTATCTTCCTCGTTGATCAGGCGGTTAACTAAAGGTCGGCAACCGAAAGTTTCCACATTACAACGAACTTACATTGTATAAACTATTTACTAATTAGCTCACTTACCGAATCTTCGCAATTTTTATAATAGCGTTCAATTGAATCGAACTTCTGTAATTACGAATTATTTTAATTAATAAATACTTTCTATTAAAAAAAATACTTTCTTTTTTTCTCATCGCTAAATGTATCCAACAAAGTAGAAGTATAGACTACAAGATTTATAATCCTTACAATTTAAACTATCTTCTAATTGGCATACTTAATGAACATCCTCCAACTAAATTGAACTTCTATAATTAAGTATTAATTTACTTATTTATTCATTTTCCAACAAAGTTATAATGAAGTTGTAGAATAATTTATTATATCTTCATATATTACCTATATTAATAATTATTATTATCAATTAACGCATTTAACGAATATACTTAAAAATAAACTCCTATAATTAGGTAATAATTCCTTTATTCGTTTTCAAGCAAATTGATAATAAAGTAGAAGAACGTAATTAAGAATTGCTTTAATTATTAAATACTTTCTTTATAAAAACTGCAACAAAGTAAAAGCATAAACCACAAAATTTTACAATCTTTGCAATTTACAAACTATCTGATAATTAACATTATTGAACTTCCAATATAACGAAGATTTTTCATAAACAACTAAGAGTATTTTATATCCATAAATATAATTATTATTTTACTATTGCATAACAACATGTAAAATCAAATGTAATCATACAACTTCAGCCTTTTTTTGTTATCCGTTACTATGTTGGGTGATTAATTTTGCGGCTAACTTCCACAAACATTCTGCAGAATCTAATTAGCCTTTGTCGAATCGTAAGTTGTCTAAATGATAATTGACTATGGACCATTTCATTTCCACCAACGAATCGTTTCACTTTGCTTTGAATTCTTGCAAGCAGGCTACACACTTTTAATTAGTACAACAACCGCTATATGCTTTTAACGTAATTACACGAGAAGAATCGTTATAACATTTGACAAAATTGTTACTTCAATTAAATGTTTTAAAGTGAGTTATATTCAGTTATAATATATTCAAAACAAGAAAATAACAATATTTTTAACGTGAAAGACATCAATGACATGTAATTTGGATTGTTGCAAATTCTGAAACTTGAAAGTATTTTAAAGTAAAGATTATTCTTTTTATTGATTAGGATTAATTATAAAAGATGTAGGCTTCAAAATGTTATTAAAAAAATGTCGAAGAATGCTCAGGTATTTCCCGCCTTTAAGAATTAATTAATTTCTGACATTCTTTCCTTAAACAGGTTTTTTTTTAACAGAAATTAAGAAAACTAGGGAACTATCATTCTTTAATGTGAAATTTGTGATTTATACAGTTATATTTAATTTATTTTTGTTATTTCTTATTTATAAATGTTATTTTAATACGATTATTATTATTATAGAATACAATCAGAAAATATGTAAATTAAATAATAACGTTTTATTTTTTCCAAGTTATATAATGATTTATTATCTATTAATAATGAAATTTCAGTATAAGTCAAAAAAATATTAGATAGAAATTTATAAATATTTTAAGCATATATGCAATATGAAAAATATAATAATTTTAAGTTAAGAAAATACTTGTTATTCATTTCACATGTTCATATTTAGAAATTAATTACAACACTTGTTGTCAAGTCAAGCTAGATAAATTTAATACGTACTATGTGATAACAGAGATAACCATCATAGTAAATAAATAGATTTCAGTGGTAATGAAGAACATGGTAATAAGCATCATCAACGGGATAACCATATAAAGAAATTTGGAGTATTCCGTACTTCCGTTACTTGAGAATAATTAGGGAATAAATATACATTAAGCAAGAACAGACAAGTGACTACTCATATATAATAAATGATTATCAAAATCATATGAGAATAACACTTACTTTATATTAAATCCCAATTAATCATTTTGTAGCAACACCTCGCATAGTGCGAGTATTTGTTTCTGCCAATATTCCGGACTCATCGAAGCCGCACTATGCACTGTATATTCATTATATTAAAGAGTAAATATCATGAAATATATTATGTCTTTTAGTATAAAATTAATATATAACAACATTAATCCAAAATATATCGATTTATTTTTTGCCATAGAAAATAGAAAGAAGAAACGAGAAAAAAAATGATTTCGGTAATAATACTACAGAGACTGATCTGGTGAAAGTATAAGGTATTGGAAGGGAATTTATATTTTGGAATTACATTTTCATGTGGGGGATAGAAGGTTTCCGATTTCAATATTGATATATGTGAGGATACAATCTTGAATAAGTTGAGAACGGAGTTGAATTTTGCAAGATATATATTTGGAGTATTATATATTTTACGTTTGAATAATGAATTCAAATTAAATTAATGAATTAATTAAGTAATGAAATTTTATTTAAATACGAAGATAAATATGATTAAAAGTATTTGATATGATGTGTTGTTTAAGATAGTTCTTTCATTACGAATTTTCAATTTATGAACAATATGTGTTTTGTTTTATACACAGTATGAAGTTTTCACTTTACGAATTTCATTTTACGAAAGGTTTAATGCCTAAGGACAGGAAATGCGGTGTAAAAAACACATGATATTCGTACAGTTTGAGGTTGCCTTTGGGATGAGCAACCTTGGAACAAAACTTTAGCCTTGGGGACGATTCCAACGTCAAATGGTTTGGAACCACTGCGTTAAAATATTAATACAATACGTTTCCATTTCTCTATACGCTCAGTCCCCTCCATCCGACCGAGCGACCGGCTTCCCCCGTTTTATGAAGTCTCCTGGGGAAACCCTGATGGAATCTGCAAAATTAGACGAGTAATGCAAAAGTATAAACTCGCATTACGAAAAAAAAAATACCATTTTGGTCGAATGAGATGAATAATGTAGATGGATTTCAAATTAAATTTCGTTCAATATTTGATGACTTATCGGTTTTCTTCGTCAAGTAGGAAAAAAAAAATATAAATTGATGGCATTAGTTTCGCTCGTGGGGCTGAAATGTCGATGCACACTGGAGGTGTATTGGAAAAATAGTAATAAAGTTTAATAAGAGGGTGGAACTAGTTAAAAGGAATTGCGGGCGTTAGGTTGGCGGGTTTCACCGAACTTTGTGAAAGATTGCTCGTTACTTACCTCCCGGCCAATTTAAAACCCTCAGGGGGGAGTATACACAGAGCTAAGTTGCGCATTTTCCGCTAATCCCCTGGATATATTGCAGGCATTATCCTTTGTATACGCACTTCCATTCGCATTCTGCATAAATCTAAAACATTTGTAAACTTGTACGAAAATGAATTAGAAGCTTTGAAATAAAAAAAAACAAATATACAACCGAATAAATCATTTTTCAGACATTTTCTAAAGATCATTGTATACAATTTAAGAAAGAAATATATGATAACTGAATACTGGTGATAAAATAATAATTTATTAAATACAATTTTATTTTTTTTATAATTGTATCATAAATAATATTTTACCCTTTGCGGCGAATATCAAGTTCACATTTTCATATATTTTGCAAAATTGCTGTGGCGTATTTTGATAAAATACCTCTACATAATTAACGTCAAAGCTTTTATGGTTCCGTTTATAAAAAAAGTAGTAACTTAGAACTAAAATTACATGTAATTTTGTATAAGCGAAGTCTCTTCTGTAAAGGATTGGGCGAATATATCCGCCGGTCATTTCGTAAAGAGTTAGGACATACACATTGTTTGTAGGGACTATGTTTTTGTTTAGAAATTAGAAACAATATATTTATTGAGTAAACAAGTTGTAAAATAATCAATTTTCAGTGATATTATTGCGCCATATTCGGATTGGGCGAATATATCCGCCGGTCAATTCGTAAAGATTTAGTACATGCACATTGTTTGTAGGGACTATGTTTGTTTGTTTCTTTAGATACTGTTAGATATTTTTATTGAGTAAACACGTTGTAAAACAATCAATTTTCAGTGAAATTATTGTACGATATGCTATAAGTAATTATAACTTCCATAATATTATTACTATATATTGCACCCAATGGAATATATGAACGACACAATTATTTGCAGTAACATAACTAACTATACGTTCGAATAAATTGAAAATGCAAAATTGAAACATTATAGTCATGATCAATGGGTCGAGGTTCATTTCTACGCACAAAGCGAAAGCAAATAAAATAAATACCTTTTACATATCAAATGCGCCGTCCGGTTCTCCCCTGTTTGTGGTACGTTTTTATTTTCGCAATCTCTCTCACTCTTTTCCAAAAATAATTGCGGTTCTCATCATGACAATAAACATTACTTTCAGCCCTCCGTTTTTTTACACGCGTTTGCGCGATTTCACCCTGCCCTCCTCTCAGAGCCCTGTTTTTTCAGAGGCTTCAGAAATTTCATATATCATTTTCATATGAAATGTACAACTGTTGATGACTTCACATAAAAACGTGACTTGAAATATTCGCGAAATTAATATTTCGAAATTCGCAATAGATACAGTTCTGTACTTCATCGCAATAAATTATCTTTTTTTGAAGAGTTTAAAGTACATTTTTATAAAGTATTATTTATTACATCAGAGTTTTTGTATTCGAAAAATGTACTTCAATGTTCGTGAGAGATCCAAAAACTACTTTAAATTGATTTATTTCTTGTATATTACTGCATATTTGTTTAAATATGAAATAAATTTTACATTCTTTGTTATTTAAAGTTACAAATCAGTAATAGTAATAGTTTATATAATGTAATTTTTGAAGAAATTATATTTATTTTCCGTACAAAAATATAGGAATTTAAACTTTTCAAGTCAAGTAAGGTAGTAAATAAAAATAAGATTGCATGAGAAAGTTGAAACTGGTAAACACATCGGGTTTTCGCCTACATCAGAGGTCATTGAGATTGAATATCAGAGTAATCGTTTCAAATGTACTAATTTGCAGATGAATCCGGGATGCAAACAGAAGTGAACTGCGAACAGTAACACAAACATTAATAGTTGCGAGAAGAGGGGAGGGAGAAAACAATAAATTAGGGAAGGTTAATAATTCGGTAGCAAAGTGTAA